CCCTCCTCTCCAAGTGGCTCCGCCACTGAACATACATTGTATTGTATTAGTGAAACAAGTAATCAATAGGAGGGAAATGGAGAAGGACGAGGGCTAGCTAGTTAAATGGAGCCTCGAGCCCAGATGGCCCCAAAAGTAACAGGAGCAAAGGAGAAAAGCGAAAAGGTAAAGATGGCTCTAAAGGATAATATTCCTGGACAGTATGGCTAATATGGGTGGTCCTTGAAACTTCTATGCATCCCAGTTTCCAGCTATAGCCAGCAGTGACACGAATTTGAGGGAGAAATATATATTCGACAGGTCTTTTGTGGAAACTTTGGAGCTTTTTTTCACATCAAACTGAACTCAAACATCAGTAGTACTGGTGTCAGTTCACCATCACACTGCGCATTTTCCAAAAGTAGCTTAAGCTTGGAATTCCATGCCCATATCTACCATCCAATCTATCAATCATTAACCAAAAGCCTATTCGCCCGCCCCACAGAACAATCCCACAAACTGAAACTTCCTTCCCTCCTCGTTATCGTTATCAGAGGAAAGATTCGCTTCCCGTGGAAAAGAAGGGGGTGATCGTCGTGTCGCGTCGCCACCAGGGGTCACCAACATACACCCCATGGTATGGCAAGGCAAGGGGGTCATGTGAGCACGTGGTCTCTTTACTCTCCTAATGGTGAAGTATTTTTTGTCATTTTTAATTCATGTGATTCAAATACTCACCCATACGTGGTACGTGGTATTCCTTCATGCCTTAGTCATTTTTGCTCTATGGATAAGCAAAACTACGGAGGAGATGCCAAGAGCAAAGGTTGAGGTCTCAAGAGGAAGGGGTCAAGACTGAAGAGGATCCCACATCCAACATCAGGGTAACCGTCATAGCAGTTGAGAGGATAACTGTCACTCCACGTCAGCAGAGCAGTTTCTTGGGGCAGTTACTTCTGGTGGCTATAAATAGTAGGTGAAGGGGGGTGATCGTCGTGTCGCCACCGGGGGTCACCAACATACACCCCCATGGTATGGCAAGGGGGTCCTGTGAGCACGTGGTCTCTTTACTCTCCTAATGGTGAAGTATTTTTTGTCATTTTTAATTCATGTGATTCAAATACTCACCCATACGTGATACGTGGTATTCCTTCATGCCTTAGCCATTTTTGCTCTATGGATAAGCAAAACTACGGAGGAGATGCCAAGAGCAGAGGTTGAGGTCTCAAGAGGAAGGGGTCAAGACTGAAGAGGATCCCACATCCATCATCAGGGTAACCGTCATAGCAGTTGAGAGGATAACCGTCACTCCATGTCAGCAGAGCAATTTCTTGGGGCAGTTACTTCTGGTGGCTATAAATAGTAGGTGAAGATGACAGAGAACGGGGTTCGCAAAAATCACAACTCGACACCAATTGTCAAGTTTTATCTTTTTCTCTTTTCCTTTGCAGAATTTAGCCATAGTCGTAGTTTTTGGAGCTCTCACTGAACCTCCATAGGAGTAGGGGCTAATTTCATGTAGATTTGCCTCGTAGTTCATCAAAACATTGAACACCCTTGTTTGAACTTTGTTCAAAGAGGTGTGAACTGTGTTGTTTGATCGTTTGTTTGGAAGTCAAAGGTGCAAAATCCAATTCTGTTCATCTAGTTTATCTCTCCGGAAAAAAAATTGGCACACGTAGTGGGACATGTGTAGATTTTAGTAATCTAAACTTAGCCACCCCTAAAGATGAATACCCCATGACCATAGCTGACATGTTACTTGATACAGTGACTAGGCATAAGACTTTTTCGTTCATGGATTGTTATTCAGCTTATAATCAAATTTTCTTAGCCGAGGAAGACATCCACAAAACTGCATTCCGATGTCCTGGGGAAATTGGGTGCTATGAGTGGGTGGTCATGCCCTTTGGCTTGAAGAATGCAGGTGCAACTTACCAACGAGCCATGAATGCCATCTTTCATGACTTGATCGGTGAAATGGTGGAGGTATATATAGATGACATTGTTGTCAAGTTGTAACAAGTCAGCATCTCATCCACCTTAGAAAAGCTTTTCTACGTATGAGGGCTCACAATATGAAGTTAAACCCACTTAAGTGTGCTTTTGGGGTGTCTGCAGGAAATTTATTGGGGTTCCTGGTGAACCAACGTTGCATTGAGATTGATGAAAGTAAGACTAAGGCCATAATCGAGGCCATGCCACCAAGTAAAAAGAAAGAGCTACAGAGGTTCCTAGACCAAGTTAACTACATTCGACGTTTTATCTCGAATTGTTTTGGTCGGACTCAAGTGTTCTCCCTTTCATTGAAGTTGAAGAATGAAGAGGAGTTTACATGGCGTCAAGAGCATCAAAAATCTTTTGATGACATCAAAAGGTACTTGGAGAGTCCGCCAGTACTCAACTCTCCAATTCCACGTCGGCCTTTGAAGTTGTATCTTTCAACCACTAATACTTCTATAACATGTTTGTTGGCTCAGGATTCAGGCCATGAGCAAGCTGTCTATTACCAAAGTAGATTGTTAAATGGGGCTGAGATGAAGTACTCCCCCGTAGAAAAGTTGTGCTTAGCTTTAAATTTTTCATGTATGAAGTTGAGGTACTACTTGATGCCTGTTCAAGTATAACTTATCTGTAAGACTGATTTGATTAAGTATATGTTGTCCCGACCAATCATCCATGGAAGGATTGGTAAATGGTATCAGAGTTCAATTTACATTATGTTCCACTAAAAGCTATAAAGGGGCAAGCCTTGGTCGACTTCTTGGCCGACCATCCATGTGTGGACATACCACCAGAGATAGTAGAGGTGGGCATGGTTGATGAGACCCCCGAGACCTTATACTTTGATGGATCAAAGACAAGGTCCGGGAGAGGTGTTGGAGTAGTTCTCACCTCCCCATCAAGGCATGCAATGCATTTTTCTTTTACCCTTGATTCCCCGTGTACCAACAACCAAGCTAAGTATGAAGCTCTAGTGGTTGGGTTAGAGATGTTAGTTGACTTGAGGGCTAGAAATGTCAACATTAGGAGAGACTCCTAACTGGTGGTACACCAAGTACTTGGTGAGTTTTGTTGTATCAATTGTGTGTTGGAAACTTACTTGGACTATGTTCAAAGCTTGCTCTCTCATTTTGACAATGTATCCATCAAGTATATTCCTCACCACTCACCATGATAATGGCAAGGAAAATTATTTAGCTCAATTGGCTTCAGGCTTTAGAGAGTTTGCTCATGAGGGAGGAGAGCAAATTTTGGTGGGAACACTTAATCCATTGCATGAGCGATTGAAGCAAGGGGTAGAAATGTTCACAATAGACGAGGAGGGTGCCACTGATTGGCGTACCCTTTAATAGCCTATCTAAAGAACCCAAGTGGGGAGGTTGATCGATCCATCAAGTTTAAAGCAAGGAATTATGTCTTAATAGACGAAGTCTTGTTCAAGAGAAGGCATGATGGTTTATTATTAAAGTGTTTGGGGAGTGATGAAGCCTTGAAGGCCATAGGTGAAGTCCATGAGGGAGTATGTGGTGCTCACCAAGATGGTCCATCTATGAGATGGGTTCTCCATCGGTATGGTTACTATTAGCCGTCCATTGGGGAGGATTGTGTAGTATTCGCCAAAGGGTGTGACTTTGTGAGGCATGTCAACGTCTTGGCCTGGTGCAGAGAGCTTCAGCTATTGACTTGAAGTCTGTCATCAAGCCTCGACCTTTCTTTGGTTGGGCCATGGACTTGATTGGAAAGATATATCCCCCATCTTCTGATAAGCATACCTTCGTAATTTTAGCTACTGACTACTTCACCAAGTGGATAGAGGCTTGACCGATGAAGGTAGTAAATCAAGAGGAGATTATCAAGTTTATCAAAGAAAATATCATTCATCGTTTTGGGTTACCAGCCACCATAACTGCTGATCAGGGTAATGTGTTCACCGGAGGAGAGGTGATGGCTTTTGCTGAGGAGTATGGTATCAAGATCATACACTCCACACCATACTATGCCCAGGCCAATGGTCAAGCATAGGCTTCTAACAAAGTGGTGAAGGGTATTCTGTCTAAAATGATAGAATATAACCCAAGGAAGTGCCATGAGATCTTATCTGAAACTTCATGGGATTATCAGATGTCTCCACGTAGTAGTACTAAGGTGACCCCTTTTATGCTAACTTATGGCCATGAAGCTTTCTTGCTGGTGGAGGTGACTGTTAAGTCATTAAGATACATGCGCCAACATGAGCTAGCACCATCTGAGTGTTATGAGTCCATGATGTTGGAATATTGATGAACTCCAACTCAAAACTCTCGATACTATCCGGGTACAAAAGGACAAGGTGGCTCGTGCTTACAAGTCATTTGAGGAAGGAGAGTTGGTATGGAAGCTTCATTTGCCCGTTGGAGATAAGGATCCCAAGTTTGGTAAATGGTCTCCTAACTGGCTGGACCCTTCACTGTTCATTCTACTCGTCCCAATGGAGCTTATTTATTAAAGGATCTTGATGGAGTGTTCCATGAACGTTTAATCAGTGGAAAATACTTGAAACCTTATGTCCCTTCTCTTTGGGACGTGGGTTGTTGTAAGTCTTGAGACTGCTAGGCCGCTAAGGTGGCCTAACCCCATGCCAAACCTTAAAATCTTGCTAAGATGTGAACCATACCCCATGACAAGACATGGGGGGATGGTGATTGGCATGAGGGTGATTAGTAGTAATTGGGATTGACTGGGGGGGGGGGGGGGGGCATGATGTTGTTTTGGCCCCAATAGTTTCAAAATATATCATGCCACGTGATTTAAGATTGACCATGTGTGTTGGTGGTCATATTGGCATGGGGGCATGATTTTTGTGTGAGATGGAAAAAGACATGAGGGCACGTATGCATAGGGGAACGAAAAAAATCCAAATCATACTCATTCGTTTGAAAGAAAGGAAATCAAACAAAGGCCAACAAAGTGGCTAAGCCAACTGTTCATAGTGGAAAGGAAAGGAAAAGCAAACATGAGGCATAAATGAAAATCGAGTTTCAAGGATGGAGAATCTTCTTGATCTCATCAAAGGTGGCCCTCAGTTTAACAAGCTTGGCCTTGTTTTCACGCTCCTCCTAGTCGGCTTTGCTCGGTGAAGGGCTATTTCCTTCATGGGAGTAACAGTCTTCTCCTGGTCAAGAAGAGCACGAATTTCACCCATCAACACGTTGAAGTTTTGAATTAGAGACTGTGACTGGGTTTGCTCTTGTTCCTCCTCTGCACGAAGCTTACTGAGTTCGGCCTCCAACTCGGCTATCCTAGAAGAGCGAGCATTTTTCCTTACTTCAAGGGTGGTAACCTGACTTGACATTGACTTGCCTTGTGATACTTTCCCTTGCAAGGAGGTGGAAGTGGTGGCTCTAGCATTTTCTTTGTGGAGCATGGTATCCTTCAAATTTGTAGCCTGCTCGATAGCCCCTAGACATGATTTGATGGTGTCTGAAGCAGTATGCATAGATATCATGTGGTCCATGCTCAAACCTGGTAGTGGGATGTGGAGCTCGAGCTTGGACAAAAGAGCAAGAGCTTGTTCAGGCCAGGAAAAGTCAAAAGCCCCTATGACTTCGTCCAATGTGTAAGATAGGAAGTTGTCAATGGAACCCAGGGCTTCATGAATGGATGAAGAAGGTGGGTTGGCAAAAGGGTTGGTGGCAGCCACCTGATATTGGCTCTCCAAGTCTCGTAGGAATTGGAGGTCATCATTAAGAGTGGTGGCACCCTGCAAGTTGTGTACATATGAGAAATTGGTGTCTTCATCATATAAAAAATAAAGAAGAGCTTTTTTGTTTGGACCTGGTGCTTACCATGCCAAGGGGGGTCTCTACTCGTTCCGGTGTTGAAGGATTACCCATGAGGCCAGTAGGATGTGGGTATTGCTCCTTCTCGGCCGCCTCCATGAAAGGGGCCATTTGGTGGGTGGTGGCATCCACTGTCACTCCTTCACCTCCATGAAGGGATTCGTTGTGGGGACTTGAGGGAAATGTGTTACTCAAACTGTATGCATAAATGGAAATTAAAAGTTGGCATTTGACGAAGAAATTATTTGGATACCTGAAAACAAGTTGGTTGGTTGGTGGAACTTGAAAAGAAGTACCACTTGTGTGTAAGGAGTGTCCAAATATGGTAGGCCCGGAGGGGAATTGATTAAATCCCAAGAGACCAAGGGGGGTGGTGGAAGGTGGAGTTGCCCCTGTAGTCATCCCTGGACCCCTTGGTGTGGGGAGGGGATGGTAGAACCATCCCCCAAGGTTGGAGGACGAGGGGGGTGTGGCACCAAGCTGGCTGAGGGTTGAGGATCATGAGCCTGGGGCGAAGACGAAGATTAACGGAGACTCCATTTATTTTTCCCCGTGTGTTCTATGATCTCGACCTCCCCTTCTTCAGAACCTTCGTCGGCAGGTTTGTCATCACCACCTTCTGACAAATAGGACTAGTTGGGTAGATAGAGGTGGTGAAATCTAACCTTTGCATCGATGTTTGGCAGGACGGGGGTTGCTTGAGTTTCGAGTCGCATAGCTTCATAATAATTCTGTAAAGCTTCCGCAAAATTTCCTTCGGATTGAGCAGACATCCGTTACGGTCGTATTCGATTCAAATAATCTCCGTTCCAGAATCGTACATGAGATTTTCATCTCATACGGCTCCTCCCTTCTGTGTATAATGAAAAAAATACATAGAATCAAAAAGGAGTGAAATATTCTCATTATGAACTGGGCGGGGCTAGTGTTTTTACAATAAATCTCTAGCCAACCTTCCTCTGTACCAGTAGTACTATGAGCACCCTTGAAAACAGAGTTCTCCTCCTCCTCCTTCTCTGGGTCAGAGGGGGGTGCTTCTTCATCCTCATCTGACATCATTGTCTCTGACTACACAATGAGACAGGTGGTCAGGGGGGTCATCACAAATAAGGAATACTAGCTAAGGGGAATGGGAAGACTTACATGTGCACTGGTTTGGGGTTTGTGTGGGGGACAAGATTGCTTGGCTGGTCGAGTATGACCATCAGATTCTTTGGAAGCTGCATGGCACGAAAAATATATATTCATGGTTAGAGAAAAGAAAAGAAAAAGGCAGGCTATATGAATATACAATGGGAAGAAGGCTTACATGCAAGGCATTTGACTGATGATGTGTTGGATGTTTGGGTGTGACCAGTTTTGCCCTTGTCACCATTACTCGAGGTTTGGCCATCATGGCCCTCCGCTTGGGGCACATTAGTAAGGAGGCCATTGACAATGGTTTGAGGATTGCCAGAGAAGAGCTTTAGCTCCGCCAATGTTTTTGAGAGCACTCTCTTGAAAAGAGGAGTGGAGTATGGACTTGACTTGAAGGGTGTGGATGGAACAAAAGTGAGTAAAGTATCATGCCATGCCTCAAGTTTCTTCACCTCCTTGTCTTGTAACGGATTTCTCTCGCTGGGGTTTCAAGTTGGCGTAATGGGTTCGACAAAGGCCACCCTTGAATCAAGCCAAATTGTCTTGCAACATAGTGAGGGTTGTAAGGCTCCACATAAGTTGCAGTCTTTCCATTTGTTGAGTTGAGAAGGAGGTCTCGTGCTACCACCCAGCTGACCCATTGCTTAGCAAATCTCTAGTAGTTTGTCTTGGTCTCTCCTTCAGCAATGCGGAGAAAGTCATGGAGAAGGAGGAAAGACCCACAGCTCGACTAGCAAAGGGGGTAAAGATGAAGCCCTTTTTTAAGTTGTAGAATTGAGCAAAGTAGCTGTCAAAACTGTGCATCAAAGGGGGAGCCTTAGCATAATACAAGCCATAAGAATGTGGCTTGGGGTCCATTTGATCCAAGAGGGGGAGGTCATCCCGTGTTGTTGGAAAATAAGCATAAATCCAAAGGAGCACTAACCATAGGGGACCGCTGCCAGTAGGGGTGACACCCTTCTTGACTTGATGAATGAGGGTGTGCATGTCGTGGTATAGATGTGCCAAGATGGTTTCCAGAAAATCATCACGAGGAATCCCATCAGAAAGTTGGTACGAGATATGAGATAGAGACCTGCGGGGACATGCATGAGTCGGGCAGATAATGAACCTGTATAACCAATAGTGTATGAAAGCCACCCTCTCCTTCTGGGTGATAGCTGCCCCTACATCAGCGGGCAAGTATTGTTGGTGCAAACTCGTGAAGGATTGTGGCAAAATAAGAGTTTGCTCATCAAGGGGGGGTGGGGTCTGTTGGTGCTTTGGCCCCTAAAGATAAACCAGTGAGGGCGGCCAAGTCCATTAGGGTGATAGTCATCGCACCCAGTGGAGAACAAAGCAGTTGAAGCCTACAGACCAAAAGCACAATGCAGCTTTGAATAGCTGAACATCTGGATCCGGAATCGCAACACAAAGGGCCAATAGACGGGTAATGCCAGATGCCATCCATTGTGCCGTAGTGGTTTTGTCAACCTTCAACCTCTTATACCACTTGATGAAGATGAGAGCATTATGTGGCCACGAGGACACATGTTTTTTTGCTTTTGGTGGGGCGAAAGAACATGGTGGGTAGTATTTCTTCTTTGAGGTAGAGAGGGAAGCTACCGCCAAGTGGGCACTGGTCAAGTGTAGCAGCAGAGAGGGTATTCTCATCAATGAGGTAAGGGCCAAGCCAACCCTCCCCATTTTATTTCACTTCCAAAAGTCCATCTTCAACCCTAGTTTCTTACATAATGCCACGTACTCCTTCTGGTAGTTGCTTGTTGTATTTTGTATCTCTTGCTTGTTTGGCTCGGGTTTAGCCATCCTACATTATTACAAGCTCGGGGTTAGGAGCGTACAATGACATGGGGGCGGTATTGTGACTATGAGGTGTACGGTGGTTAGAGGGGACACATAAAAAAATGGCCAACAATATATATATATATATATGGATGGAGAGTTCTATAGTACCCAGGGTGAAATCCAGGGTACCGCATACCTTGAGTAAGAAAACGGTATCCAGAACTTGAATTGACTTATCTTTCGGACATGATACTATACTCTACCCCTTAAAGATCAAAATCTAAGTCTTAATTCTATAAATCTTATACCCCAAGATCAATTTAATTAGAAACAATAATCGACGGTTATGATTCGTCCAAATATAGGCAAAAAAATCAATGCACCATCTTTGGGTTTATAGTTTATGATTTAGATAATTAGGACCTAGGGTTCACTCATTAAGGGTTAGGGTATAGAATCATGCCCAAAAATCCTGCTAATTTGAGGTCTGGATAGCGTTTTCATACTCAAGGTATGCGGTACCCCGGATTTCACCCGAGGTACCATAAAAGGCACCATATGTATATGGCAAAGACTAGCGTACACCTGGCGTACGGTATACGCCTGTGTTCACACCTAACAATTAATTATTAAATAATAATTATAATTACCATACCCGTTAATTAATTGTTGTTTACACTTTAATCCCCACGATTCTTATCGTTCATTAAGTTTGGGGATTTGCTCCGGCCACAGTACACGATAAAACTCTACCACTCTAAAATGCAAAATCCAAATTACTAACCATCACCATGGAATCAAATAAAATAGATCACAGCGATGCATTTTCAAGCAAATGTTCATCAGTCTCGATAATGATTTCGTCGTCGAGAAGAGTGAACCATTAGACAAGACTGAGAACACTAATCCGTTTATTGCAAGACTGTAACATCGATCTTCTGATCTTTCTTTTTTAAGTTTTTCCTCCACTGCGTCGCCGGTAGGGATGAGCGACATTAGAGGATCCAATCTGCCGATGTTGAATTAAGAAAGTATGAAAAGTAGGAAGGTTCATGGGACTAGTATACAAATTTTTTCGTGTGGATCTTATGGTAATTATAATTTTTAGTAATAATTAATTCAATTTCAATCAGTATTAATTAATGAATGTGAACACAGGCGTACAACGTACGTTAGGTGTACGCTAGCCTGAACATATATGTATATATGGTGATATATATATATACTCAAACAACCATTCTTATAAGTAAAAAGAAAAAAAAACATGCAATTATATATATGCAGTGGCGGCCGAACATTGAAAAAAAAAATCAAAACCATCTGTAATACATGCATTTGGCGGCTAGGAAAAAAAAACTCCTATAACAACATAAATGAAATGGCGGCCATAAAAATGGAGAAGAAGGCTCTTACTCGGAGATGGTTGGGAAATGCCGCCACACGAGTTAGAAGGTGATTTTCGTTCACTAATGGGCCGTTAACTTGCCATTCCATTTTCTATTGTTGCCATAACAGAAAACAAATTAAAACGAAAACGAAGCTGTCGTTTTTTGAGAAACAAAATCTGAAGAAAATTTATTTAGTTGAGAATTTTGGTGAATTCTGAAACTCGATGCTAAAAATGAAAACTTGTTTAGTTATTTCACATTTTTTTCTAGTACTTGATTATTTTTGTTCATTGAGTATCATACAACTCTAATAATAATTTGTAATAAAAATCAAAATTATTAAACTACTAATATACACAATACATTGTCACAAATAAGTGATTATTCAATGATCAAAATACCAGTAAATTCTCAAGGCGGGAAGGAGTAGACATGGTCATTTCTCTACCATAATTGGGTAGCAGCAGTTCAAACCAACAATGACCAAAGCTTGATAATTGTATTGTGTTTTACATAGGCAACTATGGGCCAACAACATAAAAAAGAAATGATCCCACGAGTTCATCATTTCAGGAGAAGAGCAATATTCTGGGAGTGCAGCTGCTAGTCTGGAGGGTCTGCATACATGAAATCCCAATATTCTGTTAAACAGGGTCTGTAGCAGACTCTCAACCCGTAATTTGGATCATCATTGTGATCATTTTATCAAAACGATTGTATAAAGCCTAGTGTAGTGATTGTTGC